TTTTTCCCATTACCCAATTTTTTTTTTTTTTTTTTTAAGAGAAACTAATCATTACAGTCCCTAGAGATTACTTAAGAAAAAAAAAGTATAGTAGAATCTTAACTGAATTTTGAAGAAGTAAGCAGAGAAGTAAGAAAATGATATTCTAAGCTAGAAAAAGAGCAAATCAGTGACATAGAGGTGTGAAAGGATATGGAATGTTCAGGAAAGAGTAAGTTCTATGACTAGAGATTGATCAGGGGAAGTGGAGTTTGGGAGTGACAGGAGCTAAGCCTTAATGATTAGTCTGGGTTTTGAATGTAGGCGTGTTACATGGCGTGCAAAGGAGTTTGGACTGTTTGGTGGGCAACGGGGATCCAATAGAAGCTTTTAAATACAAGATTGAGATGATTCTTTTTTTTAAGTAGACTTCATGCCCAACATGGGGCTTAAACTCATAACCTTGAGATTAAGAGCCCAATGCTCTACCGACTGAGCCAGCCAGGTGCCCCCCCCCCTTTTTTTTTGTTAAGATGATTGATTGGACTGTGGTATACAGACTGGAGAGAAAAGACACTTAATGCTAAATCACCATATGGTGACTTTGACTAGGCCAGGCAAGAGCCAGTGAAGGCTGGAATTAAGGAAATAAATAGTGGAGGATAGAAGAAGGGGCTGATTCAAGAAGAATTTAACAGTAACCAGAAAATGGATAATCTGTTTCAACTGAAGCTCTTAGTCAAACGGATAATTATATGTAAAAAATAGGTAGCCAGGGCGCCTGAGTGGCTCGATGGTTAAGCGTCTGCCTTCGGCTCAGGTCATGATCCCAGGGTCCTGGGATCGAGTCCCGCATCGGGCTCCCTGCTAGGCGGGGAGCCTGCTTCTCCCTCTGCCTCTGCCTCTCTCTCTCTCTCTGACCCTCATGAATAAATAAATAAAACATTAAAAAAAAAAAATAGGTAGCCATTTCTGCTGCATTTTCAAGGGGTTTGTTTATTCCTTTTTTTTGACTGATGGTTCTATATAGACTGGTTGTCTTCTTTAGCCTTCAGCTCCTTATTTAGAGCTCTTTTGTAATTGGACTTCTTAAGTGGATAACATGTTTGTAGAAAACTGCTTCTGAGGGGCACCTGGGTGGGTCAGTCATTAAGCGTCTGCCTTCGGCTCAGGTCATGATCCCAGAGTTCTGGGATCGAGCCCCGCATCGGGCTC